TTTTTTTGCACCCTCAGATTCCAGATTTTCATATAGTTGTATCTCAGCCAAATATTGTCCTATCAGAACAAACCATACATCAATGGAAAGATTATTTATTCAGCTTTCAGATGATGTATAAATCTTAATTTCAAAAACCGACCCTTATGACTGGTTTTGTGGTCTGGTGTCACATATTACAGGCGCTGTACTGATGCTCTTACTGTTCTTGACGTCTAGGAAGGACACGAGGACCGTGAGGAGTCCGGCTACAGCCACCTGACTCATGAGCTGACGGTCGCTGTGATACGGGCAGAGCGTCAGCGTGCCTTTCCCCAGATGAGTGAGACCCTGAAACACACACACACACACACACACACACACAGTCACACACACACACACACACACACACACACAGAGTCACACACACAGTCACACACACAGTCACACACACACACACACACACACACACACAGAGTCACACACACAGTCACACACACAGTCACACACACACACACACACACACACACACAGAGTCACACACACAGTCACACACACAGTCACACACACACACACACACACACACACACAGAGTCACACACACAGTCACACACACAGTCACACACACACACACACACACACACACACAGAGTCACACACACAGTCACACACACAGTCACACACACACACAGTCACAGTCACACACACACAGTCACAGACACACAGACACACAGACACGTCACCACGGGGTCACCTTCAACTAGGGCAGTGGAATAGGAAAAACATGCAGAAGATGGAAGTGAGCTTCTTTAACTTGAGCGGCATGTTTTTAGAAAGCCGTTTCATGCATGAGACGCTGCAAGAGACGCGAGCGCAACAGTCAAACACGTCCATGTTTACACAGAAAAACAATGGAAAAGCAGCGCAATCGAATAAAAAATCTGTAACTACCGTATGTCTGATATTTCATGTTTGCATCATGGTGACAGGCTGAAAGCTGCTGTTGTTTTTACAGATCATTTATAGTTAGTTAATAATAGTCTACTGGTGTTATACCTTCAGTCATTTTGAATTTGAATCACCTTGACTTTTCAAGATTTTTTTTTGAATTTGAATTACCGTGACTTTTGAAATTTTTTAAAAGCATTTTCCTCATATTATTTCTGAACACATAATATGTATAAGACAAGTTTGTACAATATGTAGTCGTAGTTCATGCATCTTTTCTGCAAAGCTATTTAACAAGTGATTTGTTTAACATTTACATCATGTTGACATAAAAATAATTTTAAAACACAAAAACACTGTAATAAACTGTTTATTATTATGTTTATTAAAATTATTATGTATCTTTTCTGCAAAGCTATTTAACAAGTGATTTGTTTAACATTTACATCATGTTGACATAAAAATTATTTTAAAACACAAAAACACTGTAATAAACTGTTTTCATATTTTTATTATTATGTTTTTATATTAAGTATTTTTCAGAATTATTGTTAGCTAAAACTATTTAAAATTGTTTATTGCAAAAAAAGTTGAAATAAAATACAAATATTGGATGACAAAAACTTAAAACACAAAAATTACAAATGTTGCAATTACAATTTGTTGAGAAAAACTGAAAAATTTTAAATACTTATACAATATATAATCTTTAGTGTAATTTCTTTGTATATGTTTATATAATATTTTTATATTTATGCACACAATTAATCCAAATATTAATAAATATTATAATAGTACATAAATATTACGAAAATTGAACTGTAATAATCCTTTTCAATACTGTAATAAACTTTGTTACATTTTATAACGTTTTTATACATTCTTATAAATCTTAAATTCTCTAATTAGAAATAAAATACAATTTTTAAATTATGAAGTGTCTATCAGAGTTGTTATCATTAATTAAAGATATAGTTCACCCAAAAATGAAAATGTTGTCATTAATTACTCAACCCGTAAGACCTTCGTTCATCTATTAACTAAAACTATTAATTATTTTAAAATTTTAAATAAAGCTGAAATAAAAGAAATATAACATTAGATGAAAAACTTGAACTAAAAACACAAAAAGTACAAATGTTGCCTTGGCAACGAACCAAGATAAGTACTAAAATGAGTAAACTGAAATAGATCTGTGAAAAAAATCAAAAACTAATAAAACTGGCAAAAGCACATGAAACTACTAAAGTTTAAACTAAAATTGAAATAAAGTTAAATAAAAAAGTAAATTTATATAGTCTTTAATTTATATTGATTTAAAAAAATTAAGTACACTTATGTATAGAATTATACTGTATAATTCTAAATTTAATGTTAAATTCAATAGAAATGTAAAAGTATTATAATAAATGTCATATTTAATATATACAATTGTACTATACATGTTTATGAATGAATATAAATATTCATTTATGTTAATATGTAATTAAATGAGCTAAATATTACATTTGAGCAATAACTTAATAATTACATTTAATATGTAAAATTGTACTTCTACTGGCAGTAATTATTGTTTATTGTTTTAAATTCATGCTGATTTAAAAAAATACAATATTGAGAATCATTAAATTTTCTTGATACAAAACACAATCTCTTGTATTTTTTTTAGGTGATATATACATTTTGTTGAAAAAATGTACCAAGGCTATGTTATAGTTTTTTCATATATTAACATTTCCAAAAACACTTCCACCTAAAGCTACGGCTTTATTAACTCTGCAAAGTCAATTCATTTTTACTAGCGTTTAGAGTTGAGTGCGTGTTAATGTGGTCTCAGATCACAGCGCTCATTACCAGCTCATTAACAGTCAGCAGCTGATGTTAGAAAATGCAGGAATCTCTCTGACGAGCAACACATGCAGTAAAGAGGAATATGCGTACATAATTATTACTAACGCAAACAACGAGTCACGTGACAAGGTGTTAATAGCAGCTGACCTGTGCGAGTCGGACCATGAAGAGGTTGTTGGGGTCTTTGGCGTGATACTGCGCCAGCTGCCTGAGCATCGCCGCCAGGCGCGCGTTATTAGTGCCTGTGGAAGAGAGCAACACGGTAACCATGACAACCGCATCCTCAACAGCCCGCTCTGATTGGTCGAGGCACTGCATGATGTAGGGCCCTATGAAATCAGTTTTATTTTTTCCAAAATTCCGTTTACATTTTTTTTTTTTCAAATGTTTAATGGCTAAATTAAATTGTATTAATCAAAAAGCATGTCTAATTAATTAAATCATGAAACGTATACAATTTAACATCAATATATTTAAAGAACCAAAAAAAACAATGTTTAGGACCCTATTACATGTTTTTTTCTCACGTTCTGTTTTATTGTCACCAGATTCTGTGTTTAAGCATGTCTAATTATCTGAATGCATAAAAACTATTTAATTTATTAAAAGGTATTTTTACAATAGCCCTATAAAAAGTTTTGTTTTTATTTTATATTCTGTGTTTTAAATTTTTCTGGTTATCAAATGCAGGCATGGAACAGTAATTTAATTGATCTTTTAATCAAATAAAAAAAAAATGTGTTTTTGGCAAACAATTTTAATACTATGAAAATTAAAACATGGGAGAAATATTGTGTGATTATTCCTTACATTTCTTTTAAATAATTTATTATTAGTAGTAGTAGCATCACGTACATTCTACTGCACAATAATATATTTCTGACACTTTTATTTTGATGGCTTGCTGTGAATACCTTTACGCTTCTGTGTGTATATGATATGATGATAATTATACTCGAATGAAGTGACTCTCAGAGCAGTTCATGTATTCATGTCCTCACTTAGTTCTATTTTTCTGACTGGATTCCGTGTTTTCCGCATCACGGAATCTTAGGGCCCTAATGACGTCACAGATCTGTTATTTGTGCTACAGCTTCCTCTAGAGACTCACCGCTGCCCACCATCCCCATGGCAAAGATGGCGTTGTGTGACACTTCGGGGTCGGCGTCGTGTGAGAACTTGCTGAGCGTGTCCAGGATGTTCAGCCTCGGGTTCGAGACGGAGATCAGAGCGAGCGCTAACGGCACCGCCCTCCTTAACGTGGGCTCACCGTAACGAAGCTGAATTCACCAGACAGACAGACATCAGAAAGCATTAGCAAGTCAGCTTGGGAAAATAAAATGCATGAAGAGTATAATGTGTCATGCTTATTTATATACATGGGTCGAAGACGTTAAGATGTCCGCATCAAAAGAAATGTACAAAAGTGATTTTATGTCTATAGAAAGCACATTAAATGTAAGTAAAATGTCTACTTTTAAGGTTTCAAATAAGTTTTTGGAGAATAAAATGTTACAATTTGTTTGAAATAATGTTACATTGTCATTCAGTGTAATACAACATTTATGTAAAAATTCAAACATGCTTATTCTGACGTGTACATGTTAAAATATATAAAAGAATAAGAGAGCATATTAAATTTGATTGTGTTTTAAATGAGTAAAAAATTATTTCTGACAAATGGGCAAAACCTAGGATAGTGGCAACTTTTAGAAATGTAAAATTACAACTAATTAGTATTTGGGGTGAAAGTAATTAGTCTTTTAATGTCTCAAATTGATTTTTGTTGTAAATATGTCTGAGAAGATTGTTACACTGAATGACATTTTAGTGGGTCTCTTCTGCACTCACACTCACCCACACGCACACACTCACACACGCACACACTCACACACTCACACGCACGCACGCACTCGCACGCACCCACACGCACGCGCACACTCACCCACCCACCCACACGCACGCGCACACACTCACACGCATGCGCACACACTCACACACTCACACGCACACAACTCAACACACAACTCAACACACACACCTGATGGGAGCCCATATCTGCAGCCGTCTCCTTCTTATCTTTGTCTTTTTTGTCTTTCTTGTCTTTATCGTCATCTTTGTCCTTGTTGTCGTAGTGTTCACTGCAGATATGCTGCAGCTGCTGCACCTTCAGCACGTTACCGGAGCCTGAGACACAGACGCACAGATGGTTACACTAGGGGTGCTCCGATTGATCGGCTACCGATCACTATCGGCCGATAATCACGGTGGGATGATTGATCGGCGGTCTCTAAAAGGCCGATCTCAAGCTGATGACGCTGCCCTTGAGAGGTTTGGCACGACATGCAGCGGCACCGTCTCAGTCTCTGTCCGGCGCGGGTGAAATAATTATAATGCTGAAGGTGAGGTACTCACCTAATTTCACCATAAATGCATATTATTAAAGTCTACTGTGTTTCACAGTCAACACATATGGCTTTTTGGCTAGGTTTAAAGGGA